GTTCTTCATTTTTATATTCTAGCCGTTGTGTAGAATCCTCTTTTGTGTTCTTCAAACACACCTTCTTACGGTCGAGAATAGCCGTTAAATTCTCATATTGTATCGGTCGAGGATAGCCGTATAAATCCTTGGGTAAAGGTTCAAGGATAGCCTTTGAAATCCTTGGGGGAACGGTAGAAGATAGCCGTTAAATCTTCGTTGTAAACGGTTCGAGATAGCCGTGGTGAAATCTCGGAGTGAATCCTATTGGCAAGGGTTGTTTGCCAAACTAGTGCGGTGCTTTGACGGAGTTCAAGAGACCGAGACTTAGTGGATTCGAAAATCCTTGAGGAGGAGCCTTGAGGTACTGGAGTAGGGAGTTCCCGAACCAGTATAAAATTGGTGTGCATTTTATTTACGCTTTTATTTATGCGTTTTATATATTGCTTCCGCATTTGCCAACACCATTTTTACTTAACTCCGAAAAGTTTTTAAACGCCTTATTCACCCCCCCTCTAAGGCGTGGGCACAACGACTAAACCGACTAACATAGATTACACTACGGTTATAAAAAAAAGTAATAAAAGTTCTTATAAAAAATATTAAATCTCTAATTAATCTCATCTCTCTGTTCCCTTTCCTTACGGTCACCCCACCATGCCTTTCTCTCTTCCCTCTCTCTCCTTTTTAGACACCACCCTCACTGCTTTGAAACGTTGTCTCTGTCAAATCCACCCCAAGTGCAGTTCATCACCGCCGCTGCACCAGCTTTCCCCTTTTCAGATCTGTCACGAAGCATCCCTTATAGATCCGCCGTGGAGCGCTACCTCTATCTCTCCCCCCTTGCAGATCTATCGCACCGCCTATATCCATAAGAGCTGAGATTGCTGCCAGTCGCGATAACTATGCTTTTGATTTTTAATTAGCTTCCAAATGCTCTATAATTGAGACTGTATTGTAGAAGTAAGAAATACTTCCAACTAATTGCATTCATCCTTTTTTTCTCTGAAAAATTGCATCTTCGTTAGGCATTGATTTTGGTTTGGTTTTTCCTTTTCATTTTTGTCTTTGATTGTTTTTCTTTTAATTTTTTTGATTGTTTTTATATTAGTTGTGTTTAAATTTTGCTCTCAATTTCAGCAAAAAATGGTGATAGTGATAAGAAACTTGACATTGTATGTTGGCAATCTTGGCATTTTATATTGGCATGATTGGCATTACGCAATAACATGTTTGGCATTATACAATGATATTTTTATCTGTATGCATTATCGTCTTTGACATTGTTGCTTTGGTTGGCATTGTATTGAAATCTTTTTCTCTTGGTAGTGACACCATGGCGCTATGATATGGTGGCGATAATGGCAGTTCTGATCCCAATGTTGGCAGTGAATTGCAACATTGATGGCAGCAAATGGGGGCGATGACAGCAGGAGATTATTGTGGAGATGGAGTGGTAGCAACGGCAATATAGTAGCAGTAACGGCAGTAGCGACGATGGCGGCAAGGTGGCGATAGTGACATGTGCGGTAGGGGCTGTAGCAAATTTAGATTTTTTTTAATTTATAAAGGCTTCGTTTGGTAATAGCGTTTTCGATTAGCGTTAGCGTTTTGGATAAAATTTTAATGGTGTAGATTAAATCTAAAAACGCTAACGCTAAAGGCTACCGTCGGATAGCTTTTTGAAAACGTTAACGCTAATCTCTAACGCTGATGCCAAACGGGGCCAAAATGTATTTGATTTCATATTTGTAATATGAATACAATTTCTATTTTGGTACATGATCAATGTTTTACTTCTACTTGCTTCTTAACTCTAAGCCATTAGATTAATTAAGTTAATTACTCCTATTTAAGGGAGTTTATGTTTCAACTCTTATTTTGAGGATATGCATATGTTTTACTACTACTTTGGTCCTTCTCCTAATAAAAATCATGTTTTATCAGGGGTTCCAATGGGGCAGGCACCCCTTGCGGGGGTTCGGGAGCAGCGCCCCCGAGCAAGGTTCAAGGGGCGGCAGCCCCTGCGGGGTCCAAGGGGTAGAGCCATTTTTTATTTTGGGTAAAGTGCTATGTTAAAAAATTCATTTGAATTTTTATTTTCGAATTTTGTTTAAAAAGAAAAATCGATAAGGATAACACCGCTTTTCAAAGGCTTCGCACTAAGGATCGCACGTATTGGATAAAAAGACACGATCACGTCTTTTCTTCTCCACTGCAATTCTATTTATTCTCAGAAATCCTTAGTCGAAGGCGTTCGAAAAATGTTAAAAGAGTATCCCACATCGGAACTTGAAGAGAAAATAAACCGGCATATAAGCTCTTGAGTTAAACTAACTAATCGATTGGATTCAATCTTTTAATGTGGTTCAACCCAAGTATCTTATTACCCAATCCAGTTGTCCAACCCATCCTAAATTCTATCATGGTATCGGAGCCAGTTTTAGCCCACATTGTTTGTCAAGGTGTCCGTCTAGACGTTCATTTCTAGCGGCCCGTTAGTCTTTAGCCCAGTTGTCCGTATGGAGTATGTACAACAAAACTTATTCTTCAAAGGCATCCACGGACATTTTGTGCTAGTGTGATGTACATTGCAAAAAATGTCAGTGCAAAATTTGTACTTCATTTGTACACCAAAAGTATGCACCAACATTTTGATGGTTCACACTGACACAAAGTGTTAGTGTGTTAACAAAAATTTGCACTGACCCAAAATGTTGATGCGGTAACAAAAATTATCACTACACCAAAACACAAAATGTTGGTCATTCCTGCGATGTACAAAATGGGGTACAAATCCTTGGGGTACAAATAGCTTTATCCTTTTATATACTCCGGGGTATATACGAGTAGTAGATATGTAGTACTTCCTCCGTCCTAAAACATCCTTCCTAGTTACTAAACATACGGTCAAACTTAATCACTTTCTTTATCTATTTTCTTAGCTATTTGATAAAATAATATACTCATGTCATCTCTTGTTTTGTAGAACTTTTCATGTGGTTTTTAAATATTTAAATTTTACACCTACAATTAAATATGTTGAATTGAAAATAAAGTCGGTCAAACCTCGTACAGAAAAAAGAAGAATGTTTTAGGACGGAAAGAGTAAGATTTTTATTAGGGGAATTTACCTATATAATGCTAAAACATACTGGTAGTAAATTTTTCAATGTAGTACCATATATTTTAATTTTTCAATGTAGTAGCACTGTTTAATGTCTTCCATCACTGGACATTATTCAAAGCAAATGTTCATTGTCTGATTAGTGTAATTGTTGATTTTGTTCTTGTGGCAATTAGCACAAAGAATTTTTTTGGTCATTGCTTGGCTGGCAGCACAGCCTAGTCTTGTGAACAGTATGAAATGGTTTTTTTTTGGTAGATAAAAATGACAATCAATTCATTTGGTTGCAAAGCAAGTTGGGTTGGATCAATAACAAACAAAAAATGTTACATCTAGGTAATGTTATACAGAGAAAAAAGACTACACTTTTAATGGTGCTCTGGGAAATTCCGAAAATTAAAAGAGAAGACAAACAAAAAAAAAGATCTATAGTTATTGGACTAACTACACTTTATTATCAAAAATCACCTTCAGCAGCCAAACTTTCCGTGCCTTTACTGGACAAACCAAAACTCTGCAGAGAGACATTCATATCATGAAGAGATTAAATGACATTCTCGGTGAGAATCGATGTCCAAACTGGTCATTCAATGTTCACTTCTTGATCTGTCGAAAAGTTTAAACCAGACTTGTCTATCTCGTTTGAACTTTCTTGAGTATCTGGATGATCAGATTCAGACATTGTTGAGGAAAGTTGCTCCTTATCATCGTCTCCTTGGTTGCCGTTCATGGTGGTATCTAGAAATGGTTTTGACACATGATGCTCATCCACCGGTTGTTGTGACAGAGAGGATTTTCTCAATGTCTTCTCTTTAACAATAGGAAAAGACATTATGTCGGGCTCCCGATTGCTTCCCATCATGATTACCCCTTCAGCAAAGGACACTGTTCTCTTGACCTGTACAGGAGGAAACCACGGCTCATGCAGATCAAAAACAATGGATGATGATGAAAAGTTTCTCCTCACGCGAGGGGGACTTATATCATAAACAGGCTCTGACCCTTCTAGTGAACTTTGTCTGGAAATCCCATTATTCTCCACACTCGGCTGTTTCTTTTCTTTCACCACAAAAATCCTTTCACTTGCTTCAGATGATGATGATGATGATGATGAAGGGGAACTGCAAATGCTGCCGCTACTAATGTTGTTCTGTTGTAAAGTTTCTAGTTTCATAACAATCTCATCCACTAAAATATTTCTCATGCCCGAGTCCGAAGATTCTTCTTCTTCTTCTTCATCTTCTTCAGATGACTGACTTCCATGCCCAACGTGCTCAGTGACGTGCTCCATCTTAGATGTCAAAACCGGTTCATCAACCAGTTTTTTCTCTTCTATTTCTTCCTTAATAACATTTTTGTCTTCCAAATCCTCAACTGAGCCCACCGAATCCGTTTCTGGTGCAGAACTAGACTTGGAGGCATTTGAGTGTGTATAAACTGGGAAAAGGCAAGATTCATAGGGCGCTACGCTGAAAGTCTCACTCCTATGGAAGAATGTATCTTTAGTTTGAAAATCCAAAAAGTCTAGCTGAGAATTTTCTCTTGAAGTGTGATCTCTCTCTTCATTCAAGTAATAAGGAATGTCGTCGAAAGGGTTTTGCCTAGGTACTAAAACGGATGGAGCTGATCCGGGGATTGAAGGCAACCCTTGTTGTTCATACGTGTCGTCTGGAAGATTATCAAAAGGATTGTGTCTTCTTGTCACAATGTGGGGAACACTATTTTGGGGACTACAAGTTTCCATGTTTGAAAACTCATTAACAGCCACCATGCTCACGCATTTTCTTGACTTTCGCCTCTCCATAACGCGCTCCAGTAGTTGGTTCCTTTCGAGCTCGGAGCTCCCCACTTCCATCACATTCTTCTCATCCTCCTCTGTCCACTTGATTGCGCTCTTTGTTAGGTAATCTTCGGCTCCTTGTATCTTCGCGTCATCTTCAACTTGTGATTCTGTCTGATCTCCTGTACTGTCTTCAGAATCAGTGACACTATCCTCATTACCATAATCATCCTGCAATGACAAGTTCATGGGTTCGGGAGTGCCTTCGTGTAAGAGTGGGTGGAGCTCATCAAGAAATGGCACAATTTCGACATCCGAAGAAGAGCTTTCTGAAGTGGAATCACAAGAACTTGCACATTTATCATTTTGAACTTCAGAATTCTCTTTACCCAGCAAATCAGAACCAGCACCAGACAACTCTCCCATTGACCTCCCAAACTGAAGTTCCTGAGATCTCTCATCTTTGGGTAACACTGTTTCAAACTGCACGGCTGTATCTATTCTTTTTTCATCCCTTCTGGTTTGGGGTTGGCTATGGATAAGCAACACTCCGAGTAAAACGAAAGTGCAGAATACAACAGGAAAGGCAGACAGCAATAAGGAAAAGACACAGGGGAATGATCTGTACAGAAATGCCAAGAAACACAGCATAACCACAAGGAATGGATGGTCACAAGCTGCTCTAAAGCATGCCGCAATGGGTACCACGCCTTTCCGACCCATCTCCCTCACAACTGCTTCTTCCTCATTCAAATCTGTTGGACAAAAACCAATTTAAAATCTGAAGGATTTAAAAAAAAAGGAATGAATTGGCAATCATCAATGCATAAATTCAACAAACACCATAACATATACAGATGCATACAGACGGGAATTTTTTTCATAATTTTCAGAAAAAAGACAAGGAATTGCATGATGAGGAACCCATCGAAAGAAATCGATGGATTGAATTGGGATTTGCAAGAACGGGTGGAGATTGAATGATTCATAAAACATAACACACAAAAAACTGTTTTTTTTCTCATAAGAGTGTGGGAAATCAAGAACCATACCGTATGGAAGAGGTTTGCCTTAATCAAGGTAAACAAAAATGGTGATTATGGTTCTGATGGATTTTGTATGGTAAATTGGGAAGGAGATTCCGTGTTGTATTTCTCATTGTTTTCGCTCATTTCTTCTGAGTTAAACCTCCCCACCATGTTTTCCGAAATTGGTCATGAGGTAAACTGTGGAACCCATGTGTTAGCGGCCCAACAACGCAAAGCATAACGATATTTTTACATTAAATTTTATAATTGATTGTTTAAAATAAAAGTTTTCTACATTTAATCCTTTGTCAAATTTGTACTAAATAGAACTAAAAGATAAGTCATTTTCTAATGTAGGACTTAAACTTTTTTATTTCCTATATAGTACCTAATATTGTCTAGTGGGAGGAATAATATCTAGTGATGGTGGATAATGACTAATGGTTCTATATTAGAAAATAAAAAAAATATGTTCCTATTTTGAACAAGTCATTATGTTTTAATTCTATTTAGGTAAATTCCTCTAAATCTTTTACTATCAAAGGTTACGCTCTGATCCTTCTCTTATACGAAGTATGTATCTTTTCCTATTCATTCTTTTTTTGAACTTTTGTCATGTTGTTGTTAAATTGAGAATTAAAATGTATTTTTATACCAATTATATATTCTTCTTGTCATAACAAATGCAAGAAGTCACTAATAATGTGTCATCTGTCAACTGGGGTCATAGTCCACTCCATTCATAGTATAGATGTCGTCTCTAGTAATTCCTACTCCAAGTCATAGTCATTATTGATGTGTTGTTCATCAAGCGAACATCAAAATGAACCATTGAACATGAGATTGTTGTGGAATTATACTTTTAGTCCTTAATTTAATACTAAGATGACAAAAGGTTTAAAAAGACTAAATATAGAAAGTTACTCATAAAAGAAGAACCACCGACATAATATTTCGTAATAGAGAACTAAATATAGAAAACTTTCAGTTATAAAGGACTAATTAAAGAATTTTCTCAATTTTTATTTCGAGTACTATTATAGATAAAGCATAACACAAAATTAATTATAATAAAAATTCAATATAAATAAGTTCATCTTATGATATAATTTTGACATGCCAACCTTTTAAATATTTATTTATTTAAATCATATTTAATTTATGGTCAAAGAGTGTAACAGCTTGATCCAAAACACTAAAGCTAGAACTTTTTTATAGAACAAAAGGGTAAATAATTAATTAATCAAGTACTCCGTAGTAGTTATGACTATTCACAAATTTAAGGTTTGTGATAAACCTTCATATATTGCTCCTCCTTACTCCTAGAGTAAATATAGGATATGATTGATAGATTAATATGTATTAATGAATAAATATGGTGATAGGTATGTTTGTAATCAATAAAAGTAAATCGGTGTTTTTAATTGCTTCTTCGTACGCAATGACGATTAACAAGAGCCAGGGACAATTTCTGAAACATATTAGACTATTGTTACAGAACCATGTGTTTAGTCATGACCATTTTCGAAATTTGTAAAGCAGTGATGTTTTTTACCTTATAATAACATAATCTCTATATTCTATTGCATCTCATTTTTATCATTGAAAAATGATTTGAATTTAATAAAAATAACTCGTGCAACGCACGGGTGTGATACTAGTAGTTGCAGTGGGAGCGACTCTAGTTGAGAAATGACACATCAGCAGTAACCTTTGGCATTGGTTATGGCAAAAAGGATGAAAGTAAGGCTGGTCGCAAGGATTTGATGGTTCTGGATGAGATAAAAAATGGGCCCTCGTCTTAACAAATTAAACTATTTTTTAGAAATTAGCAATTAACATTATAGTAATACATATAACAAGATTATACTATTATAATTAAACATTGTGATAGATATCTTCAAAAATAAAGTTTTTATATTTCTATTAAAAAATATAAAATATATACTTTAAAAAATATTGGGCCCCCACCCTTAGACCGGCCCTGGATGTAAGGTCAATATGAAATTATATTTTTAGCTCTCAATTCAACATCATTATAATGAAAGATTAAAAAAATCATCTATTGAAAAGTACAATTAAAGGAATTGAAGAACCGCAAACGAAATATTTGGTAATATAAAACTAAAAATATACTCTCTCCATCCCAAAAAGAATGGGACGGTTTGACTCTTTGGGAAATTAAGGGAGGAATATTTTGGTATTGACTTTCCAAAAATACCCTTGATGTGATGGGTAAAAGTAGAATGTGATGGGTAGATTATTAGAAAAAAGGTATAATGTGATAGGTAGGGTATGAAAAAGTAAGGGGTAAAAGTGGTTTTTTAATAGAAATGTAACGGACTTTACGGGACGCAGTTTTTTCTAAACATAACAAACTTTTTGGGACGGAGGGAGTAAAATATTCTGTCTAAAAGACCAATTATAAAATTGATCTATTGTAAAAGTGGCGTGTATGAGATTATTATTAGTCACAACTATGAAAAATGAAAGAGAAAAGAAGGAAAAACAAAAAATAAAGATAAAAACAAAGAAGAAAGATAAAATGAAAAAAGAGAGGAAAAACTGAAAAACTGAATTCTATAACTAATTTGAAAAAAATATTTTATTCAAAGATAACTTCGGAAATTTACACTTTGGATATATCATATATGACATCATTTTATGTCTTCACTTGCATACGGGCAAGGAAAGCTTGTAAACGTTTGTGCTTTGAGATTAATTAAGAAAGTTGTTCCATGATAATCAAAAGGGCATTTGGTCTAGTGGTATGATTCTTGCTTAGGGTGCGAGAGGTTCCAAGTTCAATTCTCGGAATGCCCCCATCAAGGTAAGTCAATTTTGATTACTCCCTCCGTCCTAAAACTTTCTTACCAGAACATTATTCCAATTTCTTGAAATTTATATTTATTTGTGTTTTTCATGGCCTATATGATAAAATAAAATATTCTTGTCACCACTTGTTTTGTTGAACTTTTGATGTAGTTTTTAAATATGTACTCCCTCCGTCCTATAATGTTCTTCCCAGTTTATTTTACGAGGTTTGACCGACTTTATTTTCAAATTAATTTATTTGATTGTAGGTGCAAAATTAAAAAATAAAATTTATATATTTAAAAACTACATCAAAAGTTCTACAAAACAAGCGGTGACAAGACTATATTATTTTATCAAATATCTAATGAAAATAGGTAAAGAAAGTGATTAAAGTTTGACCGGGTGAAAAGTGAGTGGGAAAAACATTTTAGGACGGAGGGAGTATGTTTTATTTTTTATTTCTATACCAATATTTAAATAAAATAAATTTAAAAAAATTAGAATTTTTTTTCGTTTTGCGCAACGGAAAGAAAGATATAGGACGGAGGGAGTATTTTTTAAGTCTGGCACATGTTGATAAGTCATCATTTGTACTCCATATTTAGATTAAAATTCACAGTTTTCTTACCTTTTGTTCTTAAATAAAGAACGCGTATTTTTATCAAAAAAAAAACGAGTGTTTTTTTCTTGAAATAGAAAAAAATTGAATTGAATTTAAGTTTGGTGGTAACTAAATTCACTTCATTATTTTTTTTCCTATAAATTCTTCCTGTTCAGGACATCAATACCCCTATTAGCAAATGGGCGACTGCTAGCAATTCATTGCCCGGAAATAGGGATAATCGCAAGAGAGATCTGATATTCTGATTACAAAAGCAAGAAATTTGAATCAATTGCTAGGATTGACAAGAATTTAGTTGAGCCTCCCATGTAAATGAAGTTGGGCGGCTGTTATATGGGACAATGGAGAGTAGTACATTGGTGTTACCAGTTTTAAAAATTTAACCATGATTTGGTATTTTAATTCGAACTTTTTTGTGAGGGCGTATTAATTTGATATTTTATGATGATAAGAAAGTGAGTTTAGGGAGAACAAAAACAAAATTCATGGAGTAGATACAGAATCAGATAGTTTTTAGAACCAAACCGATGACTGGTTCACTGGTTGAACTAATAATTTAAACATATTTAAAAATTACATATATATATATATATATATATATATATATATATATATATATATATATATATATATAGACACACATACATATAGAGACACACACTCCCTCATTTATAAATACCTAAAGACAGTAATTTATAACATTTGAATAAAGTTATATTAATACACTTGAGTTATTTTACTAAGTTAAAAAAGGAAATTTACATATTAAAAAAATAATATTAAATTTTTTTTAAATCAAGAGTTGTTTTTTTCAAATAAATTGTTTAATATTAAAAAAACACTCAAATCAAATCTTTGCATGATATGCATTTTGTAATAGTATCAATATTATCAATTATATTGTGTTTAACTTATAACTATATAATATTATATTTTAAAAACTGAAATGAAATCTTTATATAATCTTTTTTTAATTATGAAATATTATAAAAGATTAAGTAAACTTGTAATAAAAAGCACCCTTGCTTGGATGGTTAGGAATTTAACCACATGTCTAAGAGATATTGGGTTCAAAACCCCATGGTGGCATTGTTGGGAAAAATATCATAGATTTTGATGATGATGTATTTAGAATGTAATAGGGACTTTAGGTCTCCCCCAATATTCAATGTAATTTTTCTTTTTAGAAATATTGTTAAAACCAAGTTCTTGAGTTTTCCATTAAGGTTGTGATATTTCTTTAAGCGTTTTGATGCCTGAAGACTTAATCAAATTCAGTGATATGGAAATTGGATATCTTAATCGGAAAAGCTAGAGACAAGTAAGGATTTCTCAAGCAGATGAAAATCCTCTGTTCCGGAAGACTACATAGGAACCGGATGTCTCGCTACAACCTGCTGAAAGCTAAGTCACCCAAATCGGAAGACTAGCGCGGATCTCTCTCTCACCCGGAAGTCTGAGAATGACTTCTCCGGATTTGTCAGCGAAGAACCGGATGCCTCAAGGAAGACCGGAATTCTCAGAAAACGGACAAGTGAGAAAGGACTTAGATAATTATCTAAGTCTTGAATGAAGAAATTCTACCCGTTAGTAAGGAAAAAATCAATCTCTTGATTTTCAACGGCTAGATTGAAGATAATTATGCTGATTCAAAAACAAATGACTCGAAGACAAAGTCTGAATCTCCAAAAATTGAAGAACCTGTCCAGAATTCCTAAACAAGCACTAGAAGACAAACAGAGTAAAGTGCTACAGTCTTGAATTCTTGAACAACGGCTAAAAGACAGATTCTGTGGAAGAAAGAATCCTTTCTCAACAATTGAGTACGTCCAACCACCCACTTCAATGAAGAATCTTCAAATCACAATCTTCATTGAAAATTGAAGCCAGCAAATGCAACGGATAATCTATTA